CGAGCGAGAGACATGAGGGGAGACGAAGAGAAACTCGTGCGTCGTGTCGATCATACCCCGCCCGATCCCCGCAACTCCCCTCGGAGGTCCCGTAGGTCACTACTCTGCCGAACGACAAGATGTTCGGCGAAACAGCAGGGTTCACGCTGAACTAAAACCAGTCACCTGGATTGTTGTTGATTATGTCTTGATATAAAAAACCGCTCTCACTCAGTATCTCCTCTCATCTGTAGCGGTCCAACTGCCGCGGACGTCATCCGCGGTCAGTGGACGACCACAAGATGGGTATACGCCCCTTCCAGAAATCAAAGCGGAAATAATAAAGGAATAAGAAAACGATCAGAATCGCTAGCAAATCACAAACACAAACTGGGAGACGAGCGAAGCAGTGAAGAGAAACATATTATAGGAATGCCCGACACTACCAACAATTTGGAGAGCCCATCACTCCTGCTTGGTACGCGATACCAAGCAAAACGACAACTAAAAAAACGTTGAAATCAACGACAATCAGTACTCGAGACAGCACTATCGAGACAGCAATAGTTACAGCGCTTTTTATTGGAGCAAAAAGATGCGAGAAAGTCAAGTTTTCAAAACCTTTTCACTTTCCTCGTGTATACTTTTTATGGGAGCAAGATGTTGCTCCGTTTTGAAACTGTTGCTTTGGACAAACGCCGCGCGATTTGGAGAAAAAGTTCACATGTTTCTCTCGACGAAGGTGTCGAGCAAACAGTGCGCGGCGAGACTTCCGGCAATCCATGTCAAGCACCTACCCCTGCCACACACGTAGACCCCCTCCCAAGCTTCGATTGGAAGGCAGCGTGTTTACCAATATCTCGAGGGATACTCAACGAGCTGCCTCATGGATGGTATCTGGAAGGACGTAATGCCATGGGCTTTTGGGCAATGTCAAGGTTTGGCGCCGTGAGGTGTCGAAGACGCTGGGAAGAATAGTTTGTGCTGACGCACGACCGTCAACGGCTGCGAGCGGTTACTTCAACTTCGGTGTTTTTGACCGCCACGGGTTTGGTTTTCCACCAATAACATTGCGAAGGTGGAAGCAACGGCAATAGCAAGGCCACTTCGCGGGAGGTAGCTCTCTGCGCCATCTTTCATGCCAAAATTTGGCACCGTGGGGTGTCGTGCACGTCGGCAAACATCGCTGTGGTTGACCCTATACTACCCGGGTCAGAGAGCGGTTGGTTTCTGTTCCCGGGGATTGTGTGCTCATGGTTTGGTTTCCCAGCAATAGTTGTTCGAAGGAGCGAGCAATAGCAACAGCAATGTCACTCCGAGGGACGTAGCTCTACCCAGCATATTTCTGGTACCAAGTTAGATGCCATGGGGTATCGTGAGTGTGGAGAAAAAAGGTTACAACTACCCTCTCCCGCACGCTCCGGCCGGTTTCTTCGCGGTGTTGTATGAAGGTGTGCCCGCTTCTAGCTGGCGCAAAAAAAATCACACGGTCGCATTCCACCAGTCCCGTGAAGACAACTTCCTTCGTCCCATAGTGAGCGTGCGCCAAAAGTGTTACTGATAAAAGTTCCCGACCAAAAGCTGCAAAAAGCCTTGTGACTGTTTCCGCAACTTTGTGCTTCCATAAAAGCGGTATAAGAGGCGTCTGATTGTTCTATCTTTGTACCCCTTAGCCAGGGGTGTTTTCGCCACCGAGGATACAATGTTCAAACCGTTTGCCACACGTACCCTGACAAAAAACAAAATCGTGGGTGTTTCTAAAAAGGCCCCTCCACCCGGAATTACATTAGAGGATAAGCGATACAAGTTACTACAGCCGCGCTCGAGCATACATTCAATCAGTGTCAAATGACACTAGCCCATCGGTCGACGCCCACCTTCACCCTCCGGTATCACGAAAATTACAGCCCGCGGTACACCCCGCCGCGCCTGGTACTTTTCTCCCTTGTACCCTCTCCATCTGAAACAGGTCTGAATCCTGATGTTCGGAAATGCGCCGTAACCTGACAAAATTCCTTTCATCGAACTTGAATCACGTTCCGCTCCAACCAACGGGCACGAAACACCAAACTTCCTGGTCCAAGCAACTGATGGCAACCGACATTCAACGCACGCTCCATGGTTGAAAACCAGCATGGTTGACTCGCTTCCCACACATCCGCTGCCGGTTTGTTACAGCGAGATGATGGTCGTAATGCCCGTATCGCTTGGAAGGGCAGCAGGCAGCGTCTGCTGCAGTGACCTGCCAGAATTCCTCGCACGCATCCCACACGCCCTGAACAACCATCGCGAGCCCGCGTTTCATACTCTACATTGATGTTGTTGTGGTTGTTGTTGTTGCTGTCTTCACATTAGTAGAACGTTCCATTATCTCTACCCAGCACGTTCTTCTGTCCCTACGAGTCAAACACTTGAAGCGGTTGGTTCCCGTGGTCACAGGCAAACTTACCCAAAAAAGGGTGGAACCCAGGGGGCCGTAAATGTTCCTAGGAGCGACGATTGTGTGGTCAGCCGAGCAAAGTTATCGGTTCCTCGTTCCAATCATTGTTCGGTGGTTGTTCAATAATACAATGTAGTACCAACACGACTATACACGCATACATACATCGGCGCCTCGTCACGACCCTCGCGGGCGGGCAGGCTAAGAACGTATAGGTAGCACCATCTGTCACACAGCCTACATCTGGCAGTGCATTCGACCCTTCGACGGCGGTGGTATCTCCTTCTCTCATGGAATCAAAAATCTTTGTTTGAACAACGGGTGGGTACAACCTGGATTTACTTCTTCACAGTAGTAGCGGCAGCTGCGGATACTGGATTCCTGGACGTGTTCACCTGAAGGAAAGCCAAGAGAACCTGCGAGCAGGACTTGGCTCCCTAGTGACTTGCTAGTGGCTTCCTAGGTTCGGGTGAGGGCATGTGTGGAGCTATGGCAGTGTACGTGTTGCTCCTTTCGTTGAGTCATCTAGCTGCTGAAACGATGACTCTTGGATCTTGGGAGTGTACGATTATCAAATTGGGAGATGCAGCATACCACGATATCCTGGCTTCGGCTGGGCTTGAAATAACCCTTTTGCTGTCCTCCGCTCTTTGCGCTAGTGGCTTCCTAGGTTCGGGTGAGGGCATGTGTGGAGCTATGGCAGTGTA